GAATATTGGACAACCCCCATTTAGGGTTTGGGGGTTTAGGGGTTTCAGCACAGTTTGGGTGGTTTCCTAAAATTAGGGGTGTCTTTAAAGGATTTTGCAGGGATATTTCGGGATTGATAGGGTTTCGGGTTTCCCAAAATTAGGGGTACCATTTTGGGGGTCCCCATAATAAGGACTATAGTATATTGGGCTATATATTGGGGTCCCCCTATTTCGGGAAACTACCATTTCCTAAGTGAAGAAGGAAGAGCAGCTCATAAACCCTGATTCCCACTTCTTTGGGGACAGTGCAGCGCGTTCCAACCTCTTCGCTGCAGAAGGACGAGGATGTCAAAGGAAGCCGCGCACGAAGCAAGAGGTACCTTGTCCTATTGGGGTTATTTTGGGGTTATATTCGGGTTATATTAGGGTTATATTGGGATAATGGAAAAGAAGATGGAAACTACTATATAGGTTTAGGGTAAGTGACGGTTGCTTTTCAGTGGGGCGATGAACACCAGGTGACAGAGTCTGACTAAGGTTGAGTAAGACGGCGCATTGGGCGTCTTAAGAGATCAATACACTCCTGGAAACTAACATGGAAACTCAAAAAGGGCCCAAGAAAGACTACAGTCCCCCTAAAATGGGGCCATATGGCTTTCCATGTTAGTTTGGGGGAGTGTATCTCAGACTGCCGCCTGCACTTGACGGCAAAACGCAGCTAAGGACTTTCTTCGGGGCCCCTCACGTCGTGGACTGGCTCAGTAGCTGTGCATCCGGTCCTGCCCCAGAAGTGGTACCTATAAAGCTGATGCTAAAGAAGACTTCCATGCCTTTGAGCTTGACAAGATGGGCGCAGGACACACCTTTATCTGGCATCCTATGTGGCAGTGACCAGCTCTCCGAATCTCGGACGCCGAGAGAAGCTGGTAATATAGGGGCCTAAATAATTACCATAGGGTTATATAGGGGTTATATTAGGATAATGGAAAAGAAAATGGAAACTACTATAAGATAGATATCATATAATATCAATCTTCTCATGTAAATTAGGAAAAACTATTTTTAGATATTCGTCTATTATTTATTTCTTGAGATTTGATGATAAAGATAAGAATTTATAGGAAGAAGATTGTTAGAAAATTGGTTATACTTTCTTTCTTGAAAAAAGATTCTAGAATTAACAGGATATGAATTATGAAATATTCATTTCTTGATATACATATTCATATAAAAAATACGAATAGATTATAAATAAATTCTATTTACAAATTCATAAATAAATACGATTCACGCTATAGTAAGTATTTAGGCCCCTTATAGTAAGTATTCCGCACAGTGTCAAACCTTGCTCCTGTAGAGCGCGTATGCTTTGCAGGATCTCATTGTGCCTAGGTGCAAGACCTTCAAGTTCAGTGCCTTGCATGACACTGATAGCAGGTGCAAATGATGATATCATTGTATCCTGGCTTGTAGTAAAGCTGTGGAGCATGCGAACACGCACCTCAAAACTTAGAAGATCAAGAAGCCAGCATGTGGGTGGTTGTCAAAATTATGGTCCCTTTTGGGTACCCAAAATATTAGGTGCCGTATACCCATGTAATGATCCAGAGCGAAACCTTGAAACTGCAACGTGAGCTGAGTGGCAAGGAGCACTACGAACGTCATCAACGAAAGCACGGTAACTTGGAGTTATTCTCAGGTCCAAGTTCCGGTTCGGTATGAAAGCAGTTCTGGCCTGACATTCAAGTTCGTCAAAACCTGCAAGTAAGTAGATGACCCAATGAAATCAAGCCTTGAGTGGTCCTAGATCCAGGCAATCATCTTCAAGACATGTTTCTTGGCATGGCTGGAAAGAGCCTGCAGGACAGATGCTGCATAAACGGGGAGCAAGCCTGCCTATGTACTTCTCACTAGTGGCCTATACCATCCTGACTGGCCATGTTGCCTCAGCAGCAGGTGGAAAGTTGCTCTCGATTTTGCAAACATAGATCCTGGCCTCTTGAAGACATCTGAAGCTTTGTAGAATCTTTCCTTTGCATCTTTACAGTGCCCGCAGAGGACGAAGATGTTGGTGACAGCAACGCGCGTCGCATCTCAGCAAGAAAATTGGCAGCTGTCCCGTGCCGGGATATAATCCCTATGTTATAGTAGTTTCCATGTTCTTTTCCAATATCCCCAGAGAACCCCGATATAACCCTAGCATCCTGGGCATCCTCTGCCAGGCCATGGAAAGAGGGACTTTGCTGGCGCCCCGCATGTAGCAGACTCGCAGGATGTGCCACCTGGCTGGGAGCCATCACACTAAACCGTGTTCTCTTGGGATTGGGGGGTACGATAACGGACTTTGGGGTTGCATTGTGTGCGCTGGATGAAATGTCTGGTGTTGGCCAGGGCGCTGTCAGATAGGCTGGCAGTTGAGGGTCTGAATTGACATGCTCAGGTTTGACCTGGTGTGTGGGTCGCCAACCCTGAAGGAGGCCGGCTTGGCAAGTAATTACGGAAAAGAACTGCAAACTTCTTGCTACTAGCTCTTCACCATCAGAGCCCTGCTTGTGCGGTGAGTGCGCATCATCATGAATTCAGCCGGTCCTCTTTAACAGCTCGCACTTGCTGGCGAGGCCCATGCCAAGAAGGCCTGGTTCAATCCGTGCAACACATAGTGCGTGTCTGCCTTTCTTGTGCTTGCGACAGTCATGGCTTGAGTATGCATAGTTGGTTTGCAGTTCTCACAGGCGAACCCTCAGCTCGCGAACATGTTCAACGGCTGCGCAGGCCTCTGTCTCCAGGTTCGGGGACCACCATCAACAACTGGGTTGCTGTTAAGGAAGTTAAATTAAGTTACCGTAATGGGTATATATATATAGTAGATACTAAGATTTTCCCAACATAGTAACTTACATTAAGTTCCTCAACAGCAACCCAGACAAGTGCGGCATGCCATATACTACAGTAGTTTCTATTTTGTGTGCCATTATCCCTATGTAACCCCAATATACTATAGTAGTTTCCATTTTACTTTCCATTATCCCTATGTAACCCCAGTATACTATAGTAGTCTCCATTTTATTGTCCATTATCCCTATGTAACCCTAGTATAC